TGTGCACAGATGTCGAGGTCAACCATCACATGTAAAGGGACAGTTTTGTTAAGGACTATCATTACCATGGTCTCCCTGCCACGGTATCCTCTTTTTATCCAAGAACAGAATTCCAGGATAAGCCTGGCCCAGTTCTTATCTATCACTGACCTATCTTTACCATGTGCTGGTCAAGTTTCTGCTCACTCTTGCCCCACTCCTTGCATCTGATGAGGACCTTCATTTCATTCCTAAGTAGTTTTATGCTTTGATCTAATCCTGAAAGCCAGGGGTAGGCACTAGTGAGTTTAGAAATAAAATAGACAGAGCAGCCAACTCCTTTTGGCCATATTCTACCGGACACTGAACACCTGGTTCGCATTACAGTTCTTCCAGATGACAACTATGGCAGCCATGAAAATTCCATTTTCTTCCTTTTTTTTAAAAAAAAAAAAAAAGAAGTTGAGATCTGGGCCAGGCACGGTGGCTCACGTCTGTAATCCCAGCACTTTGGGAGGCCAAGGTGGGTGGATCACTTGAGGTCAGGAATTCGAGACCAGCCTGGCCAACATGGTGAAATCCCACCTCTACTAAAAATACGAAAATTAGCCAGGCGTGGTGGTGGCAGGTGCCTATAATCCCAGCTACTCGGGAGGCTGAGGCAGGAGAATCACTTGAAGCCAGGAGGCGGAGGTTGCAGTGAGCCGAGATCGTGCCACTGAACTCCAGCCTAGCAACAGAGCGAGACTCCATCCCAAAAAAAGAAAGAGTTGAGATCTGGCTTTGTCACCCAGGCTGGAGAGCAGTGAGCCACGATTGTGCCTCATTCCTACACTCAAGCAATCCTCTCGCCTCAGCCTCCCAATGAAATGCACCTCTTAAATCTACAATTGCGGGAAATGTAGTTGAATGATGATCCTAGCCATCATATTTGAGCCAAGGCCATCCTTCCGATGGGCTGCTCCAGGCAATAATGAAGTGTTACATCCCAGCATAATCTGGCTGAGGGAGAGGTGGGCCTAATAAGGAAAGAAAAAGACTATACACTAAAATAGCAAAAGGAATTAGGTAGGAATTGGCTCCTGAACTAGGAGCTAGGGGAGTAGCCCTGGGATTGGATGAGAGTGCTTGACCAAGAGGCCTGGAATATAAAACTGGATAAGCAAGAATTCATCAACTTCAGGCACTTTCTCAGGACACAGACTTAACACTCTGGCAAGGACCCTAGGAGATGGGGCTAACTTGCTGCTATGGTGACACCTGGAACAGGTGAGTGACACCAAACCCTGAGTGAAGTGGCAAACTGCGCTGACAGAAGTGGGAGGGCAGAATGGGTACATAATGAGTCAGAAGACTCACCGGAGGATTCTGTTCCACGGGAGGGCGCAGACGCACTGCTCACCAAGGGCATCAGGCTGGTGAGAAAGGCACTGGTGTCACTAAGTCTGTGATGGTGTCTTCTGCAGGCCAGGGTTGACTAGATTAGGTAATTGTAGACCTGGGTTTGTGAAATCCATGGAATGATTTGCTAGCCAGCTCTTCCATACCCAGGTAACAGAGGCCAAGCAGAGTTGTTTGAGCACAGAAGTTAAGAGGCCTCATATAATGAGCAGACAGATTGAAGAGGGAGTCAAGGGGAAAGGTGGAGATGGTTGATAGAACATAGCATGCTTAGGACCAAAACAGATGGGCAGCCAACAGAGGTGCTGCCTAACATCTACAACCAAAAAAGGGCAAGGATGGGGAAGTGGAGGCTGCAGATGGTCACCCCAATAAAAAGTCATAATCCATGCTTAGTTCCTAAGCCTGAGTCAATAATCTGACCAACACAGGTCTTACTTTTAAATCATCTTTTAGTTCTTCTTTGTAATTAGTTTAAGTTCTCCATAATTCCACTTAGGTTGGACCTTCAAAAGACATAGACCTCTAAATAACCTTTTCATTTTGTATGAAAATGCCATTATCTCCTTCCAGCTCCCATACCCTGAAGACCCTAGAAGGCTCTAACTTAATATTAAAAGAAGGATTATTTGGTAGCCTATATGTCAGTAAGATTTTTCACTAATCCTTCTCACAGTTGCCCGTTTTTGTGATATTCCAAAAGGCAGAAAGTATTTGCAGGAAGTTGCTATTTATAGAATATGAACTGTATGGATCAAAGTTAAATGATCTTTAAAATGATCTATTTCAAGAGAAACACCAGATTTGAAATTGATCTTCAGGAAGCAAAGGGCTGAAAGTTAAAAAAATTGAAGAGAAAAGAATGTGTCTACACTAAAGTTCAAGTACATGACAACCAGAGAATTTTACACAGGTTTCAACTTTTTATAGAACAATTTTTTTGTTTGTTTCTTTGTTTGAGACAGAGTCTTGCTCTGTCACCTAGGCTGGAGTGTAGTGGTGCGATCTCGGCTCATTGCAACCTCTGCCTCCTGGGTTCAAGTGATCCTCCTCCCTCAGCCTCCCAAGTAGCTGGGATTACAAGTGTGCACCACCACACCCAGCTAATTTTTCTATTTTTAGTAGAGACAGGATTTCACCATGTTGGCCAGGCTGGTCTCAAACTCCTGACCTCGAGTGATCCACCTGCTTCGGCCTCCCAAAGTGCTGGGATTACAGGCGTGAGCCATTGCCCCCAACCTTATAGAACAATTTTAAAGCATATACAAACATACATTTCAATAGTTTGATCTCTGAAACTATTACAGAACATTTAGCAATATGACATTTACCCCTAGATGTTGACTTTTATGGAGCTTTGATTTTCTAAATGTGTTTATATGTATTCACTATTAAATATATTTAAATATGTACAAATACATACTTGTATTCATCAAATTTGTGCTTTTTTATGCGCTTTTTTCCCACTCATTTATTTAGAAAAGTTCTTTAAAAGGTAGTTATACCCAAAGCTGTTTATCAGTATAATTTAATTAGAGTAAATTGTGTTGGTATACAAATACAGAAAAATATTTACAGAGCTTAATAGCTCAGTGGCCACTATTGGTAAATAAGTATTCTAAATATCTGTAATTCTCAAAGGTTGTGTCACGTCCCTAAAAAACGGTAAAAATAAAATAAAACTTTAGGACCTAAGCACCCACTGTGGCTAATTGCCCAAACCAGTGGAGATATTATCCTAGAGAGCCACCTGCAGTGCAAGCAAACTCAAGTATGTGCTACATGCCCACCAAGTAACAGTTGATTCCTCAGTTATTAAATTTAATCCTCATAAAAACACTTTCATATTATTACACTCCTTTTGCAGATGTGAAACCAAGCTTTGAAGGATTAAGTGGCTCATGGAAGGCCACATGGCTCTAAGTTGTAACTGTGGAGTTTGAACTCAGATCTTCTAGTATTAGATGTGGTATTTGGTCTACTTTGGCACAGAAGCCCATAGATCAGGAGTTGGCAAACTTTTTCTGCAAATGCCAGATGGTAAATATCTTGAGCTTTCCAAGCCGTAGGTTCTTTGTTGCAACTACTGAACTCTGCCCGTGTAGTCAGTAGTTCTATATCAACCATAGATAATATACAAATAAATGAGTTTAGCTGTGTTTCAGTGAAACTTTATTTATATGCACATGTGGTGGGCAGGATTTGGCCAGGGGCCATGATTTGCTAACTCCTGATAGCGATTAAAACATACAAACAAACCATAAAGGGACTAGACTCCAGAGATCCTCCTTTTCTGACCTTCGGAGGTATTTTTCATTATTGCTCCACTTACTATCCTGAGCATGTGATGATGATGATTTCGCTGTAAATTCATCCTCTAGTTCTTACCTCTTCCACGGTGCCAGCTTGCTTCTCCCTAACACTAGTTCCAGCTTTGTAGAGATACACTTTAAGGCAGCAATCAGTATCTTTTTTTAATGTGAGTACCAATTCAGGAAAAACAAGCTTTTTCTCTTACTCTTGGTAAAAACAGCTTTATTGAACCCCAAAAGGTAGAAACAATGTGTTCTTACAACTTAGATTCCTTACCGAACATTTCCAAACGCTTAAAAACATTGCTACTGCTTTTTGGTCACCAAGGTGCTAATATATGTGCAGCAGAATCATCTTTCTAATCTTCCATTCCTTAACTTTATATGATGCTTTAGGATTCAAAACATGTATTCTTGTACCTTCTTTCATTTATCTTTGAAGCAAACTTTGAACTAGTTATTATTGTGGAGAAACTGATACTCAACAGGGGTTAAGTGACTCACCACGGTCACAATTCCTTCTCTCCAACTTAATATTGAACAAGCAGGTACCGTGCTAGGTGCAAAATAAACAGATAAAATTCCACTTCCTTCCCTGTCTCTCTTACCCCCTTTGCCATCCCCAGACTTCACCCAAATCTTTGTGCCTAGATAAGCAATTCTGAAAAGATTCTTCTCCTGGCCAGGTAGCTTTTTCCCCCTTAAAGTCTCTGTTGTTGAACCAAATGCTGCATTTGAAACGAGATCAGAGACCTTTCTGCAAAGTCAAACGGAGCATGAAGCGCTGTCATCTCGGCTGCTCATCCACTGCCTTATGCGATCCTTCTCTTCACGAACTCATCTCCACTATTACGCATGACTCGTTTTTAAAATTCTTAGACTCTCTGGTCAACGTAAAGTTCATTCTTAATATTTTATTCAGTTTACCATTTGTTCTAAACGTTAGTTTTATTTCCCCAAATAAATAAAAATTCCTTACTGCCTCTGTCAATAGCCTTTCTGCATACGGTCAGCTCCGTGCATCTACTGACCTGTCTTCAGCTGATTTTACAGGGAGGATCATTTCCACAGTGGGTTCTTTATTTGATCAGTTGTGTTACTTGTTCATAGTCATTTCTTCAAGATCTGCTCTTAACTCTTTCAGATTTTATTGGTTGGCTAATATGAATAGTTACCCTAGTATTTCCACTGAGCACATTCAGTAGTTCAGGGCATTTTTTTTTAGTTTCAGGTAAGGATTGTTTTTAATTACAAGGAGTAGCTGTCACACAGTGAGCCGGTTGAATGAAACTTTTTCACCCTACTCACCTCTGCAATCAGATCATGCAGCTCTCCTTCAGTAGGGCAGCATCCTAATGACCTGATAATTGTTCCAATCTCTCTGGGGAAAAAAAAAAGTTTTCAATGGTTTTAGAATATAAACTCTGAAAAGGCTATGTTTCTCCAAATTATCTCAGAGCATATTTTGTAACATAGGAAACCAAATCACTCCAATATTGCCTCATGATTATAAAAGATGTTTTCTGGGGAAGGAAAAAGGAAGCTAAGTGAACCAAAGAAATATGAAAGAAATGGCTTCATTGACTGGCAAACACCTTGCCTGAGCCAATATAAAAAAGTTCTAGAAAGAAAAAGAAACGCTGGCCATGTACTAACTGACTTTAAGTGTTACTTAACTCTTTTGAGCCTCAGTTTCCACACCTGTAAAATGGGGATGATAATGTCTACCGCAGAGTTTCGCAGTGAAGTTGACATTAGTATCAGAGTGTTAAAAGCATGGCCTCTAGCACCAAACCACTAGGGTTCAAATCCCAGCTCTGTGACTTACTGGATTGGAGAAGTCACCTACCTAATCAATGTGCACACAAGCCTACCTGGTAGGTAAAACACAGTGACTTCCTTCAAACACTAAGAACCAGGATGGGGGACACACTAAGGGTTAAATAAGAAGAGCTATCATAAAACAAAGCACATCTCCTGGCAGAGCAGCTACTCAATAAATATTAGTTATTCACCTCTCCCTGCCCCCATCATAATGTAGTTCAATTCCACAAATAACCTAAGAAAAGTATAGATGCTATTCAGTACTCTCTGAATATTAAGACAGGGGATGTGTGATTGATTACGAAATACTTCCATTCAAAAGTATTAAAATTAAAGTTGTAATGTTTGAAAGTTAATTTAATTTCACAAATATTCACTTAACTAGAATAGTTAATTTCTTTACCATCCTGGATAATTTCAGCAGTATTATATTTACTCTCTATTTTACAAAGAAAACATTTTAAATAAGAATTTTAAATTTCTTCACTGAAAGAGGTTGCAGAATGAATATCAACTTGAAAGTAAAATCTAAAAAAAAAAAAAAAAAAAAAAGAAAGTAAAATCTAAAGTCAGTAACTATGGAATATAGGATTCTTTTCACTTACTGATCTTTCTTCTTAATAAATGAAGGGCCAACAAAACATGTACTATCCTCACGTCAAGTATATTTCCTTGTTTCCCCTGTTTTCTTGGTTTTTTTTCTTTCATATAGCAAAGGTATTATTATTATTATTATTATTATTAGAAAGGGTCTCACTTTCGTTGCCCACGCTAGAGTGCAGTGATGCAATCTCGGCTCACTGCAGCCTTGACTTCTCAAAACTCAGGTGATCCTCCCACCACAGCCTCCCAAGTAGCTGGGGCTACAGATGTGTGCCACCGCGCCCGGCTAATCGCACACTCTCACACTTACTGCAGGCAAGAGTTTCGAAGCAGGGCAACACAAATCTCACATTCTCACACTGATTGGAGCTAAATAAGCTGGTCTCAGGGAGGTAGAGAGTAGAATGGTGGTTACCAGAGGCTGGGAAGGGAAGAGGAAAAGGAGGACAAAGAGAAATTGGGTTAATAAGAACAAAAATGTAGTTAGATAGAAGAAGTAAGTTCTAGTATTTGATAGTACAGTAGGAAAATTACAGTTAACAATAATTTATTCTATTTCCAAAACAGCAAGAAGAGAAGAATTATAATGTTCCCAACACAAAGATAAACATTTGAGGTGATGGATACCCCAATTACCCTGACTTGACCATTACACATTGTATGCAGTTATCAAAATAGCACATGGACCTCATACATATGTACAACCATGGTATCTCGATTTTTTAATTACCAAAAAACAAAAAAGATTTTTGAAGGGGACAAGATGGGGGAAAAGACAAATTCTAGGCCTGCGCTAGACCAAACAGCAGCCACCAACTACATCTAGCGATTACGCATTTGAAATGTGATGACTACAAATGGACATGTGTTGCCAGTGTAAAATACACACTGACTTCAAAAGCTTAGTATGAAAAAGAAAATGCAAAATAGCTCATTAATAGTTTTTAATATTGGTTACATGTTGAAATAACATTTTAGACACATTGGGTTAGATAAGCTACGTTGTTAAAATTAATTTTACTTGTGTTAAATTATTAGGTTCGTGCGAAATTGTGGGTTTGCCATTAAAAGGGCAAAAACTGCAATTACTTTTGCACCAACCTACAAGTTTAGCCTAAAGCTGACTCCTTACATGTTTTAAGCTTGACCTAGAGGTTTCTGCACATATAGTGAACTGCAGCCTAACTGGATGTTGTAACAGACATAACCTACTCACGCTCCAGTCACAGCGTTTCGGCCAATCACAGCCAACGCTTCAAACCTTGTTCAAAAGAGGCCAACTTCCAGCTGTAACTAGGCCAGCTGCTTCTGCACCTCGCTTCCATTTCCCACACGTCACTTTCCCTTTTCTTGGAGAGGTGAACTGATTCTCAGATGATTCTTTGCTCAATTAAATTCTGTTAAATTCCATTCGTCTAAAGTTTTTCTTTCAACAACCTGTTTCTTTTTTACTTAAAAAAATGTGGCTAACAGAAAATGGAAAGTGATATACTACGCAAACTCCTTCTGCACAGGGCTTTTCTAGGGAAGAGCTTCCATCAGGAGTCAGACTGTGAGAAGACAGCAGAGAAGGAGAAAGTGAGAATTACACTGTGCTGCTCAGCTACAGAAGCCTCCTTGTTCCTCTCTGAGACACTCCCAGCTACTCAGGAGGCTGAGGCAGGAGAATCACCTGAACCCAGGAGGCGGAGGTTGCAGCGAGCCGAGATGGCGCCACCACACCCCAGCCTGGGCGACAGAGTGAGAGTCTTTCTCAAAAAAAAAAAAGCATTAAGCAAATGTAAGGTGTGGAAATTTGTGTCACAATCTCATCTACGGTACTTGAGTAACCTGAGTATAAAATGTCTACCTTGGGTACAGTATTGACAGGATACACGAAGAGCTGGTAACATTCACTGGAGGGTGGAGAATGCCTTGGAGAGAGCAGGTGGCAGGGGCAAAGGCTGGAGGAAGTCCTTTCACCATCTACCTTTTGAATCGTTTGTATTACAAACAAATGAATACATACATTTTAAATTAAGTACCTTAGTCCCAGCTACTAGGGAGGCTGGGGCAGGAGGACAGCTGGAGGCCACGGGTTCAAGGCTGCAGTGAGCTATTACACACCTGTAAATGGCTACTGCACTCCAGCCTGGGCAGCACAGCAAGACCCTGTCTCTAAAAACATTTTTAAATAAAACAACTTAGAACTTCATAAAATGAATATTCTGGCTGGATGATAAAAGGCTATAATTGTCTTAAACACGTAAGAGAAGCACGGTCTGACCCAGGGATAGGCAGCGAGGGGCAAGAAGAGCAAACGAACCTAAGACAGAGGTGGAAGGAGCCGTCAGACTTCATGAGGGAGAGGAAGGTCAGAAGAGTTACGAATTTCTTATCAGTTGGTAATGAATTACCAATATCAAGGACTGCATCAATCACTGAGCTCAGAAAACGGAGGGAGAAACAGGTCAGGCGCAGTGGCTCACATCTATAATCCCAGCACTCTGGGAGGCTGAGGGTGGGAGGATCACTTGAGGCCAGGATTTTGAGACCAGCCTGGGCAACACAGCAAGACCGCCATGTCTACAAAACATTTTCAAAAGCAGTTGAGTGTGGTGGCATGTGCCTGTAGTCCCAGCTACTCAGCAGACAGAGATGGGAGGATCGGTTGAACCGAGGAGTTCAAGGCTGCAGTGGACTATGATCCTGCAATTGTACTCCAGCCCGGGTGACAGTGTGAGATCTGTCTCTAAAAGAAATACCAATACATGTGCAAAATAAATAAAAATAAAATTTTTAAAAGGAAGTAAAAAAGTTTGGGTGGAGGGAGATGAAGAGTTCAATCTGGCACGTGCTGAATTTCCAACATGCTTGTTCTTGCTGGTTATGCCATGAAAACCCTGGCCATCTCTCAGGGTTACGTCGCAGTGAGCAGCCTCGAGAGATGACGGCATGTCTCCCTCCAGGCCAAAGAGCAGGCTTGCTTCCTGCTTGCTATAAAAGCAGTAGATATCCCCTGTTCTGTTCCCGGAAATTCTCTGTTCTGAAAGCTCTGTTCCCTTTTTATAATGCCAACCATTGCCTGTGCAGGCATCCAGCTGGGCCCATCACCAGGAAGAGGTGAGGGCAGGAGAAACTGTCACCCACAAGCTGATACTCATGTTGCCTGCTGTGCCAAGAGGAATGAAGTCCTTTGTCACTGACCCAGGAGTCTCAAGTCTTGTGCCAACATCCATGGAACAGTAACAAGCTAACTTACTAGCTTACAAGTGGGGTAAATCAAACCACAGACTTGATACTCCTAAGAGTGTGAAGTGCAGGAGAAGGATCAGGCTGGAGACGTGGATCTGGTCATGAAGGCACAGGAGCAGAATTCCTCTAAGTAGAATGTATTGGCTAGGAGAGACAAGGAAGAGGTCTGAGGAGTACCCACATTCGAGGAATGATCCAAGAAAGAGGAGCCTGCACGAGAGACGGAGCAGAGGAGCCAGAGAGGGAAGTGAACACCCGGGAGAGGGCCGTGGCACGGAGGCTAAGGAAAAAGAAAATGGAAAGTCATCCTTGGCTTTCCAATGCTGCTGAGAGGTCAAGGAAGGTAAATTCTGAGAAATATCCACTGGAGTTAGTAAAAAAGGAGATCAGCTATGATTTGACAAGGGCAGTCTCTGTTGAAGGTGGAGGAGAAATTAGATTGCAGTGGGTCAAGAAGTGAAGGGGAGAAGTCAGGTGTGGTGGCAGGTGCCTGCAGTCCCAGCTACTCAGGAGGCTGAGGTGCGAGGATTGCTCGAGCCTGGGGGAAGTGGGGGCGAAGGTTGCAGTGAGCAGAGATCACGATGTGAACAGCCAGTGCGCTCGGCACTCCAGCCTGGGCAACATACACAGACCCCCACATTAAAAAACAAACAAACAAAAATCCCAAAAACAAACAGAAGTAAAGGGGAGGGAAGGGGTGTCTGGAGAGGAACATGGTGTTAAAGAGGATGTTTTTTCTTTTTTGATACTGAAAACCTGAAAGATGCAAGCATATTTCAATGCTACTGGGAATGAGCCCTTGCAAAGAAGGCTGACGAGGGCGTTGTTCACCAGGTGGGTGGGCTTCAGGCTGACGAGGGCCTTGTTCACCGGGTGGGTGGGCTTCAGGCTGATGAGGGCGTTGTTCACCGGGTGGGTGGGCTTCAGGAGAGGGTGAGAAGGCCTGGGCCACTTAGTGCTCAGTGTTCTTGCAGCCACCCCTATCCTAGGTCCTGCCACCTGCACGTTGCTACATGTAAGAGAACAGCAATTTCTTCCCTATCATAGGAAATTTCCCTCTCCCTCTTTCCACATCCCCTTGAGGAACCCATCACCATCCTCTTCTTTGCTGAGCAAATCTGCTATGGTCTCATCTCACCGGGTAGACCACAGAAAACAAAGCCCACATGATGGGACATCTTCCAGGCAGTAAGCAGCTTCTTTCTCTCTAGTCTCGAATAACAAAGGCCTCATGATATAAGAAAAGAAGGCAGATTATTTTGCTGATGAGGCCAGAGTGGCCTAAAGAACAATAACCATGGCTTCCTCAAGAACTCACCCTGTACACCCACAAACTGCTCCACGAGCTCACCTACATCTCACCCACCTTCTTCTCCTTCGCTACTGCACTGGACGAGCTTCCTTCCTCTTGTGGAAAGTGAACCTCCTCATTGAGCTCTGGGGCCCTGGAAGCTGTGCTAAGGCTCCCTGTGGCTGGGCCTCGTGTAGACAGCATGGATGCTGTCCCTGCCTCAGGCCTAGACAGCTCATGAGCACAATGCTTTTCCTCTCTCCACTTTCCCCCAGAGACTGCACTAAGCCTCGGGGTCCCAGAACAGCAAGTCTTCTCTGATATCACTGATGGGTTCTTGGAAACTGCAACTGGAAGCAAAAGGACATATAACAAAACCATTTCTTTTCTCATTAATTTTGTAACAACATTATTCAAAGACTTGCTATACGTCATTTCATTTTAAAGGTGCAGTTTACAACAACTGATTGAAAGGTTAAGAGAAAACATACTGTACAATATAAGAGACTAAAAGAAGCCACAAAAACTACTAATATTAACTTTTTATTGGTCTTGACAAGTAGGGGTACAAGATTTAATCGGACTTAGAAAAGTAATGTGACTTATCTGTTCTCTCAAGTTGTAGCAGACAGTTCCTATCTGTACCCCTAGTTTGTCTTTGGAAATGGGATGATGAAGAAACTCGCACATAAAGACTTCGCTGTCCTCTGTGTAGCACAGGGCAAGGTCCTCTGCTGAGAGCGAAAGGGACGGAAGAAAAGAGAGTCTGAGCTGTGTCTGGGCTCCCTCCAGTACTTAACATCACCACAACTTGCCTCCAGGCCCGTATATTTCAAGATGGCAAGCCTCCTCCTCACTCTCACATTCTAAAACCTGCCCTTCTCCTGATGTGCTGGATATTTCTGGGTGCCCCCTAGAGGCCCCCTCTATTCTTCTCCACCTGCCCAGTTTCTCCATCTGACTGACCTCTGCTTTTGTGCCAGGCTCCCTTGCCTCAGGCTCCCTGCTGTGTGCAGTCAACACGAGGCATGGCATGCATCTTCTACTGCTGCGTAACAAGCTGCCCGCCACAGAGGGACGGAATCAACAAGGGCTTATTCTTTTCCACCATTCTGCGGGTTGGCTGCGTGGTTCCTCCAGTAGTATGGCCTAGGCTCACTCGTGGAGCTGTGCTCGGCAGTTAATCTACACACGGCTGCTCAATCCTCTACACTCAGCCACTCAAGATGGCCACTGTCACCACCCTGAACTCTCTGGGCCCTTCACCCTCCATCCCGCCTCCTGTTAATCCATAACCCTGAACATCTCTAATTTTCACTTTCTTTGTTCCTGCAAAGCACTGCTGCAATAAATAATAAAATAAAATAAAATACCATGGACTACTACAGATTCACCCCATCCAACATCAAATCTGTCCTGGCTGTTGCCTAACAATCCTCTCAGCCGTCTGCTGGCTTCCTGGCAAGCTCCCTCCAAACAGCTATTCTGGAGCATCTCTTGCCTCAAGCTCCAAAGTACTCCCTCCCTTCATCTCAGAAAACGTCCTTATCACCCATTTCACTCAACAGATGTGAACTGCACAATCACTGGGTGCTATGATTAATCCTCATGTCACCTTTACGGTCGCTGACTTTGTACCACTTTAGAGGAATGTCCTATAGCTCTTGCCTCGTGCGCTTAGCCTTGGAGAAATTAAAAGTGCTCCTCCTCAATGAAGCAAATCTACTGCTTAGTTTTTCGTTTCCACACTCAGCTCTTGTTCTTCACATGCTTACCTCTCCCTCTCAGTATCTTCATTCTTTTCTTTATTAGCTGTTTCCTCTTTTGCCTTGAAATATTCAGGTATCTTCTTTATCTTGAACAAAACTGATAGGTGCTTTGCCAATCTCAACCATTCTATTTCCGGACTTCCTTTCACTAATCACAGTATTTCTTCTAAATGGCTTATCTTGTAACTGTCAGCTTCATGTCGCACTCATCCACCCCATGCCTCACCACTCTGCAGAATCCTGCCATCACTAGCCTTCCACTGCTCAGCCAATCAGCCAATGTCTCCCTCCCACTCCCTCCTTTCCCTCCTCATCTCCACTCCCCTTTCTCCTGTAACCTCCTTACTGTCCCCTCCCCCATGCTTCTGGCTGCAAAATAATCTCCAGGGTTTCGTCTTCCTTTTTGGTGGGGCGGGGAGGTTGGGTTGGGTTGGGGGGATAGGGTCTTGCTCTGTTATCCAGGCTGGAGAAGTGGCACGATCACACTCACTACAGACTCAAACTCCTGGGCTCAAGTGATTCTCCTGCTTCGGCCTTCCAAGCAGCTGAGACTACAAGTACACATCATCATGCCCAGCTTATTTTTTTTTTTTAATAGAAACAGGGTCTCGCTATGTTGCCCAGGCTGGTCTTGAACTCCTGGGCTCGAGTGATCCTCCCACCTCAGCCTCCCAAAGTACTGGGATTAAAGGTGTGAGCCTGGCCAGGTTGCTACAGTTTAAAATATTAGAGAAGGTGGCCTGGCCAACATGGCAAGAACCCATCTCTACAAAAAATTTTTAAAAAATTATTGGGAGGCCAGGCGCGGTGGCTCATGCCTATAATCCCAGCACTTTGGGAGGCCAAGGCAGGCAGATCACTAGGTCAGGAGTTCAAGACCAGCCTGGCCAATATGGTGAAACCCTGTCTCTACTAAAAATACAAAAATTAGTTGGGTGTGGTGGCGCAGGCCTGTAATCCCAGCTACTTGGGAGGCTGAGGCAGCAGAATCACTTGAACCCAGGAGGTGGAGGCTGCAGTGAGCCGAGACTGTGCCACTGCACTCTCCAGCCTGGGTGACAGAGTGAGACTCAGTCTCAAAAAAAAAAAAAAAAAAAAATTATTGGGGTGTGGGTGTGGTGGTACATGCCTGTAGTTCCAGCTCCTTGGGGGAGGATTACTTGAGCCCAGGAGGTTGAGGCTGCAGTGAGCCGAGATCGTGGCACTGCACTCCAGCCTAGGCAACAGAGGGAAACTCTGTCTCAAAATAAATAAACAAAATATTACAGAAGGCTGAGAGAATAAGCAGAATCTTAGATCTGGACAAAAAGAAGACCACTGACCTTAATAAGAGCACTTGCAGACGAGAAAAAGAGGAAGAAAAAACTCCAGAAAAGAGCCAGCAAAAAGAAAATTTAGATCATAAGTATAGAGTACACCATGGAGAAATACGGCTACGAAAGAGAATGCACATCCTAACCAACAACTGAGAGTTCCACAGCACTCACTGTGTGCCAGGGACTGCTCTGACACAGTAACCCACAGATTAACTCATTGAACCCTCACAACGACTAGGAGGGAGGTACTATTATTGTCTCCACTTTACAAATAGATCCTCTCAGCCGTCTGCTGGCTTCCTGGCAAGCTCCCTCCAAACAGCTATTCTGGAGCATCTCTTGCGACTTAGAAAAGTAATGTGACTTATCTGTTCTCTCAAGTTGTAGCAGACAGTTCCTATCTGTACCCCTAGTTTGTCTTTGGAAATGGGATGATGA